GTTCTTAACAGCTAGAGAGAGTAGTTTTTCAAATTCTGTTGCAGTGAGTCCGTTGAAGTACTGGTGGTTGTTAAAAATGCTTTTGGATATTATGTGGATGGTTTCGTCAACAGGTATGTTAGTAAATAGGGATACGACATCAAAGCTAGCAAGGACAACGTTACTGGAGTTTATATCGCAATTTAGGATTTCTTCAACAAACAAGAAAGAGTCTTTGATGATGAGGTTGCTTATAGTGAAGGGTTTTAGGAGTGGGATGAAAAACTTTGCTAGTTTATACGAATAGTGATTAATGGAGGAAAGAATGGGTCTGAGAGGGATGTTACATTTACGTATTTTAGGAAGGTCATACAATATACCTATTCGTGAACCAGTAGGGTAAAGTTCTTTGTAAGTTTCTTGGCCGATAGATTTGGCATATTTCAACTTGTTTAATATAGGCTTCACTTGATTTTCTCGTTGTAAAGTGACTTTGACTGGATCTCCATTAAGAGGTTGAAACTTTGTAGTGTCAGATAAGAGTGTGTCCATTTTCTTTGTGTAGTCGTCTTTGTTAAGTATTACGATGCCATTACCTTTGTCAGGTTTAGTGATGAGGATAGTTCTGTCGTTTTTTAAGTTATTTAAAATGTTCAAGTCTTCTTGTGAATATAGAAAAGGTGGTGGGCTGTAACTTCGGAAACCTGAGTGGGCAATGTCTTTAAATTTTCATTTGATCGAGTCTGGAAAAAATCCTGATGATTCATTAACAGGTTCTCGTTTGAGACGGTTGTTTTTCAAAGGGTGTTAAGAAGGTGCAAATAGTTAACTTTTTTGGTGGGATGGAAAAGTTTAAGCCTTTTGAAAGGATTTCTTTCTCTCTGTCAGTAATGAGGCGGTTTGAGAAGTTGAACACCACTTTATCAGGGTCGATTGGGATGTTGTTGTCATGTTTGGATGTGGGACGGAAAAGTTTGCGATCTTGGATATGTTGATGTTGCGTTAGTTTGTTTTTTTTTGGAGTGTGCTTGTGTTAGTTGTGCTGCGAGGACGCGTATACGAGCGTGTTTCCCGTTTATTTCTTCTTGAAGGAGTTTATTTTGGCATTGGCGATAAGCGCTAGAGTTTTGTAAGCGACGACTAGCTACTTTGAACCACAGGAATCTTGGTATCACAGAGCGCTTTCTACATGTCGTAAGAAAATCCAAGTTGAGTTTCGCTTTTCCATGTTGAGTTCAAGTCGTTGGAGTTTTCTAAATGCTTCAAGTGCTCCATTATTATAGCGATGATTTAAAATAGTAGCGAGAGACTTGCCGAGCGGAAATCGAATTCGTGTGATAAAAATTAATTCCCAACATAAAGTTCTGATTAGAGCCATAGAAATAGACCAAAAAAAAGACAAATTGTAAAATTAAATTTATTGTAACGTTTCGTCTTTACTCAAGACATCTTCAGACAAATACTAAATAGGATGTTAAGACAAGATATTATATTTACAAAAAGGTGTTAAATTACTACTAAAGGAAGCGGTGTCGAATGGATATATGATTAGGAAGTTAGGAAGTAAAAAAAAGAGAAATTAAAAGAGGTTAAGTGGAATGGAGTTTACTTGCACATTAAGTGAAGGTTTGTATTTATTGATTAGAAGGCTTTCATGAATGGAGAGTTCATATGTATCGTTAAAAGAGGAGATTATTTTAAAGTCGTCTAAGTTGGGGGTGTGTCCAGTTGCGTTAATGTGAGCAAGAACGCTTGATGATGCAGTGTGGGAAACTTGGTTGCCTGTAAGGGGGGATATTCCCAAGTGCTCCACAACTCGAATTTACCAGAAAGTCACTCACCAAAAACGGTTTTCCTTCACGTATAATTGACCAAATCACACGTCGCTTCCTTAACAACACCTTTGCCACCAAACCACCTGTCTTGACTGCTCACAAAATGCCCATCTATTTCTGTCTTCCTTTCACCGGCATACACTCCCTTCAAATTAGCACACGAATCATTAGCGTTTGTGCTGCAGCCTTCCCACATATATCCATTAAATTTGTTTTCCGCCCTTCTCAACGTATCTCTTCTTTCTTCCCCTTTAAGGACAAATTCCCAAACCTCTGAGATCTGGTGTAGTCTATTTATTCAAGTGTCGAAGCTGCAACGCCTCGTATGTGGGTCAAACCACACGTCATCTACACACCAGATTTTCGGAGCACTTGGGAATATCCCCCCTTACAGGCAACCAAGTTTCCCACACTGCATCATTAAGCATTCTTGCTCACATTAACGCAAATGGACACACCCCCAACTTAGACGATTTTAAAATAATCTCCTCTTCCAACGATACTTATGAACTCTCCATTCATGAAAGCCCTCTAATCAATAAATACAAACCTTCACTTAACGTGCAAGGAAACTCCATTCCACTTAACCTCTTTTAATTTCTCTTTATTTTACTTCCTAACTTCCTAATCATATATCCATTCGACACCGCTTCCTTTAGTAGTAATTTAACACCTTTTTGTAAATATAATATCTTGTCTTAACATCCTATTTAGTATTTGTCCGAAGATGTCTTGAGTAAAGACGAAACGTTACAATAAATTTAATTTTACAATTTGTTTTTTTTTGGTCTATTTCTATGGCTCTAATCAGAAATTTATGTTGGGCATTAATTTTTATCACACAAAAATTCCATACATGTATATTCTTGCATAAGTCACTTCATATTATAAAACCTTTGTTATTAAATAAAACATTGTAAATTATGAATACATTTCAAACATCAACTGCACGCAATTATAATTACTTATGATCAATAAAAACACTGTAGATACAACAGTAAAGGATGCAATAAAAGTAAACCTTAAAACTGTTAAACAAACATGATTAAAAGTATCATTTTAAAAGGTTACTGTGTTGCATGAATCAAAATTTCACAAAAATAGATTTGGTTGCGTTCTTTCTAAGTGTAAATACATTCTTCATGTGTAAAAAATTTGCTTATTTTACAAATGTTCTTACTTTTAAAATGGAAGTTTTGCTCAATACGATTAACAACATATTGTTAGACACACAGCAATTAGTCAAAAGTGGCGTCGGCAAAAAAGGGAGGTGATGAATGATTGGACATGCTATACCTCCTACATAAATTTTCACAGATTCCCATTTTTCCAGAGACAAGTATGCTATTTCACCTCTCCCATACCTTTGAACAGGTTATGCTTTCCTTTACCATGCAGCTTATTGCCAATAGTTAGAAAGTTGGTTTATCAACTTAGATATTATTTCTCATGTATGTTTATTCATTTTTTATCGAGATGCTGCTTTAGCTAATTTGTTATGTCTGTAGTGTAGTTCTAAAATATCGCTTAATTTTTCTAAAATTACTTCCGTTATAGAAGTAAGACGACCTTGTGAACAAAATTATGCTTGCTTTAGTTCTTTACATGTCATATACTCAACAAACGGATGAAAGATTTAATATAAACAACGCGACCACATATATCAGTTTAAAATGATGATCATAGTTCATGCCTCACTACTGTTAGGCATTTCATCATTCCTATTCGTCAAAAAAGCAATTGACTGGCTGCCACTATGGTAATCACATGCGTAATAAGATATGCTTGGCACGAAAAATTCAATGGAGTAGCTCTACTATATGCTCTCTATACAGTGTTAAATGTTCTTTTCATCTCATGTGATCTTTCCTTTGAAATATGAAAATTCAATCTCAGCAAAGAATATTGGTTAATTTATGCAAACTTTACATTTAACCAGAGATGGTACATAGTAATTTTCTAAGTAAATATTGATGTTATGCTAAGTTTTTCCTCCCATGACCACCCCTAAAGTGAACCTTCTAAACATGTCAAGAACTTTAGAAAAGTGATTTCTTTTGTTTTTGAAAGTTAAAACTATGTTGACATTACAATTTTAATGAGGTTTCGATTTTAGGATTTTCGTCCCGGATTAAAGAATTGTCATATGTACCATGTTGTTTGTCGTGGTCATTTTACACCTTCAAGTTGAGATTACTTCTGGTAAACGAAGTGCATACAAACTCTTATACAAGTAGTTCTTGAACACTAACTCATTCATTACACGTTTGTAATTGATCATGGGGCGTGCATAAATTAAACATTTGTTACTTTTTCAAAACTTGACGTTACTAACGTTACTAACATCCATCTCATTGTTGCTAATACGTAACCCTGAGTTAGCATTGGTTAGTAACAATGTGTTGCTACGAGTCTACGACAAAGACACACTATGTTTCACCGATACCAATTTAAAGTCTAATCTCTAACGATAGAGTCTCACGTTTTCAAACGTCCTTCCATATTTGCTAAATTTCAACATTCTACGGTCGTTTACTGCATAAAAACAACAGCTTCCATTACTTAACTTTATAAAAGGTTATTTTATGCATACGCAGAAGCACAACTTAAACAGAAATACACGAACGCAACCAGAAGTAGGCTGTTTTGAGTTTACTCGATAAATTCCATAGCATTTCTAATTCAAGTAGTGCTCTTTAAATAAGTTGAAACTGTACGTGTTGCGTTGACGCAGGAATGTTGTTAAAGTGCTTATCTCACAATTTTTTCGAATTTTCGTATTGCTTCTTCAAAAGTAATCTAAAACTTATATTACAATTTTTCATGCGCTGCATTGTTTTCGAATTATTATTGATCAAATATGAAATTTGACAGAAAAGTTGATAATTGGCATAGGGCCTGGATCAAGTCTCTGTGACGTAACTTAAGGAACAAGTCAAGGGCTTGTTGTTATCAACGATTAGATGGCGGAGTTGAATTCTGATTCGGAAAGCTCTCATAGTTCGCAATGTGATTCGAGTATGATTATATTCCCGGTTATGTCATCGAAGATGAAACAAGGAACATTAATGACCAGGAATATAATATAATAGATGAAAATCACGGCGAGTCCGAGTCCTATCTATACGTTGATGAACCAATGGCCGAACAAGCATGGTATGAAGACTACGTGCAAAAGTAAAATGAACATAAAAAGCAACTTGAAATGCTACAAAAAAGACTTGATCACACAGTTGAGTTGAGTTCTTGGTGTGTAATAAAATTTCTAATTTCAATTCAACTTATGAAATATAGACATAAATGTGCAATTTTCTATTCAAGATTACCATCGCTTTTTTTATTTACTTTTGGGCAAAAAATTGTTAAAAGATGCTCGATTACAATTTTTTAATGTGATTTTCTTTATTGATCAGGTGCAAGTGTGGTTTTTGTCAAGTTACACTTCTTCAGAATCCTCTAGAGGCCTGGTGCTGCCAAGAACTTAAGTCTGTAGCTGAAAGCTTAACACACCAGTCGGTTCTGGCAGATCTGTCAACTATTCCATGTTGTGTCACTCTACACCCAGGTTTCAGACCAGTTTGTTTGGAAAAGTGGTCGCTAAAAATGGCTGCTAGGAAATACAAAACCAGAGAACAAAGACGATACAGAGAAACAGGATCTGAAAACATGTATGATAGCATATTATGTTATTTCCCAGTATTTAAGTATATTTTAGTGTTATGACACATTAGTAATGATTTGGCTTTATATTCAGGTTTTACGATGTGTTGCATACAGAGAATTCACATCTATGATTTATGGATGCTTAGGAGAAGAAAGAAGACCATTACCAGCATGTGCATACCATGCAATAAGATCAAAATTTAATGATAAAAAGTTGGAATTTAGAGGGTACGAAGAAAATGAAATAAATGAGTGATGTGAAAATTAAGTTTTCCTATTTTTTGGGCAATCTGCCACATGTTTGTGACCTTTCATTGGCTTCTTGCATGTCAAACATTTTGGCTGACTTTTTTCTTTTGAAACTGCCACTTTTGACTGACAGCTGAATGGCACACTGGTAGCTGCTGGCATGAAACAAAAACATTTTCATTATTTAAAATGATTTTCAAACCATGTTTAGCTACCACATCTTATATAATCATTATTAATTACCTGGAATTGAGGGAGGGACATCATTGACCACAATGCATTTTCAACGGACCTGTTTTAGTAACACCTCAGCTCTGGGTTGCTTTTGCAGCATGACATTCATTGATGGTGGGGACATTTCTTTCAAAAGATTTTGTGAATTTGATAATGCGTCTTTGTCTTTTATTGACAGCATCACACTCTCAAATAATTCATCCACATACTCTAAAAAGAAATTATTGTCGTATTCAATACTATGAAATGATGCAAAGCAACACATTTAGCAACAACTTACCAAATTTGGACTTAACTCTGACATCCCTCACAGTTCCTTCACCATTTTTAAACTTTGGATACACTACATTTATTTGGAAAGTGCCATCATTCTTCATCTTTACATCACGCCTTAAGTTGTTGTTGAAGTGGATGGATGCCAAAATGTGTCTTAAACAATAAAGACTTGAGGAAGTTGCAAAACAACTAACATTGTCATATTGGAAATTTTCGCCCACCTGCAATACATTCCAACATAGAATAATGAATCATTTTTGAGCAAAATGATTCAGGACAGAAAGGAATCCTTCCAAACAACTTGTTTGAGCAACTGGTGAAGCCTGGTGAATTGACTTCATCAGCTGTGGGTGTAACAATTTAGCACTAAGCTTTTCATGAGCAACTGAACCTTAAACATTACAATTAAGAATGATGATAAACTGTTAGGAAGTTATCTTTAAATAATGCCTTCACAAACCTTCTAACAAATATTCCCTTGGTTTAATATCAGGGCCATGAAAACAACTTGAAAACAGTGGATTATCCAAATTGGTGTGCTTGTCTACTATGTGACTCAGGAAAGATTTGAACTTTGCCCAAATTACTTTGCCATCACAATAATAAACAGCCGAATACTTAGTCGGTGTCCATCGAGCGCGTTTTCTTGCAACAAAATTCACCCAGATTTTACGTCTTCGCTTCGCTTCAGGACGCTCATCACCGTGAAATGGTATACGGTGAAGAGAAATTCTTTCCGCAGAATTTGCTCGGTTTGAACAGCCGAAAACTGCACATCTATCAGGCATTTTGATGCAGAGCCGTAGTAAATAAAGTAGAAATTATAGCAAAAGTCACACTTCAGAAAAACTTCCTGTCCTTATGTTACGTCACATACTTCTCGATTCAGGCTCTCATCAAGCAAATTGAACGCGCAGCAATTTTCTACATTATTGCCGATTTTGAGAAAAGAAACGCATTTATCTCATAAACGAAGCGAGCAATCAGAAAATTGTAAAGTAACTTTTACAATGATTTTTTTTACCTCAATCAGAAAATTCGAAAAAAAAAAAAATTGTGAGATAAGCACTTTAATGAAGATCGTATCAGACAATATATTTTACGAGAACTCAATGAATGCGGTATTATGCTTGGATATAGAGCTATTTGGAGGCTTTTACAATCTAAGTATAACTTGCTAGTACGTTATTTGGCTATTCAAACTATGCTCAAAGAAATCGACCTTGAAGCAACGTGACCTCGACGAGGAAACAGACTAATAAGAAGAAAGCATTTGAATCCAAGCCCTAAATACACCTAGTAAATAAGATGAAGCCGCCAGATAAGATAAACTTATGACGTATGACTTTGCATTTCACAGACAAATTGACGGCTTTATATTCAAATTTATCGGCTGTCGGATAATAATAATCAAAATTACGCGAGACCTATAATTATAAATAAAATTACGTCAAAGGACATCGTGTCGTGGTGAAATGTGCGTGAGAAATTGAGTTACATCAACTCATTTTCTAAAGATGATTGAATTCTAGGCAATGATGTGGAAACTTGGACAGGACTTGTTTTATATTTATTTCGGTATTCGAATGAATTTTTGAAGCATAAGATAACAAAAGCTCTATCAAACTTATGGAGGCTGATCGTCGCCAAAATTAATAGCTATATTTTCAATTACTAATGCGCATTTTGTCCTTTGCAATGTGCATTGTGTCTTGATCATATTCCATTCTGGAATTTTATAATCGGATTTTGTCCTGTACAATTTCTGTTAACTCATTTTGTTGTTGAACCTTCCATTATGATGACGTAACATTATTCGTGACTCGCAACACATCAAATTTTACTCGATCACATTATAATTTATTCATAATTTATTTTCTTGTTGCAGTAATAATGAAAACAAAATAAACGAATTGTTTTATCTACAAGTCTACAACCCTAAAACATGGCAGACAGGTTATACTTTGTAAGTCTCCTTTGCAACTCTATTTTGGGTTGTATTGCTGACCTCGAAGGAAGTCCAGATCGGGATTTTGCGTTTTCGTATTGATTCTCTTTATCATACTACGTTGCGATTTGCTGAAGTATTCGAGCTTGAAGAGGCTGTTCTGCAGTTAATCTCAAACGCAAAAGAACTTTTAAATGTCGATGTTCATCATGATATTAATCCATCTTCTTCATTGAACTGCCCTCAAGTTTTCATATGATTCCTGATTGAATTCATTGCAATCTGCACTGAGCAATTTAAGCATTTTACTGTTGGTCCAATAGATATATCCTAGCAAAACAATGTATGTATACATATAACATTTCCTGTATAATAATTTATCCTTTAAATTACTCAAAGCTATGAATACAATACCTTGTTTCTGGAGCATCTCCTGCAGGAGCATGATCATCCGTTTCCAAGGATGAGGAATCTAGATCAGCTTGAACTGGTCTAATATATGCAATTGCCTGCCCTATCACGAAGAAAGTAGACAGAATATCCAATATTTGGTGGAGGGTAATAAGATACAAATCTTTGGGTGATAAACCACTTCTTAATATCTCAAAACCACCGCCTGATAACAGCCTGGGATAGATCTCTTCTAATTTTGCCTTCACTTTGGCTGCACTTGAATCTTTATGGAAAGAAATACGTCTACGTCCAAAACCAGCTTTTTTGTAATTTAATTTTTTCCATTCCAGTAGACACACAATCTTGCTCATGGTTTTCCAGGCAAAAAATCGTGAGTCCAAGTCTCTTGTGGTTTGTAACACCGACCTTGTTGTCCCCACGAATTAGATCGACCACGTTTTGCTGGTGGATGAGAAAACATCTTTCCATTGTTAGCTCGATTATACGGTGCAAACAACCGCCTAAACTCCTGCTCTCTTATCGAACAAGATTATCTTGATGTGGAAGCTTGAGATGACGAAGCCTGATGTTGTTCTTGCAATGTGCTGTCTAGTGTTGACGATTGGAAACGTTGAGGAGCTCCATGATCGGCAAGAATACCATCTTGAGCAGTCGATGAAGATCTAAGACTTGCTGATCCAGAAGAGTCTGGATTCAGTAAATTTGCTGCTCGGCGAAGTAAAGCTGCTGCCTCTCGAGTTTTCGCTCCATTATCATCCCCCATACCAAAAAAATCTTTTCTTTTGTACAGAATACTAGAATCTAGAATGAAAACAATGACTTTAGGGAAACGTAAAAAGATTTGCCGAGCGGAACAAGCATTTGAGCAACAAAAAAGAGTGTCCAACAAGACGAACATATACGTCTATCTTGAGAAAAATATTGCTGGTTCACTTTCTTATATATATTCATAACATATGTATATTTATGGCACGATTCTCTGATGATCGGATGTTGTATCACATACATAATATTGTCACTAATGCTGAAGATGACATCACGATATGTTGAAACATGTTTATTTTGGAAAACTACAATGTTTACCTTAGTTGTTTACTAATCGTTGAAAGACAACAAATTGTACGTTATACGTACCTGTTTTTTCATAAGATGACCCAAACTTAGAACCTGAAAAATCTGTTACATTGGAGTGTTTAAGCACAATAAATATATCAATAAGATGTTTCTTTTTTTGTTTACAATTGTTACAAGTTAAATCTGTAGGTTTATATTGTACGTTGTATTATCATCAACATTATAATGATAAATTTTATTTTAAATAATGAAACTAGAAAGTGAAGTTTTTCATTCTTCCATATTTTAATAAGAAAAAATTTACTCAAAAAAATATGAATATATGATTTCTTAATTCAAATGAACTTATGTCAAAATCGTAAAAGTTTTATTGATTTTCATCATAGTTATTGACATGACAATATCATGATGTTTTTACATACGGGAATTGTTGACAGTATATAACATTTTCTGTCTTTAAAGTGCACCTCCAGGCAAAATTTTTTATTGGTTATATCGAATCTATGTATGATGGCCAGCATATATGCGAAAAATTTTTTAAATCGGTTATATCTTTCCTTTTTTATGGCGGTTTGAAGTTGACAAAAATGCACTTCTTGATGGACCATGTCCGTCGTTACAAGAACCTGGAACGAGCAAATTTTATGACGTCACGCAAGGTACTCGTCAAAGTAAGGCCGTTGTTTCTAAATACATTACGTGCAGTTTTTGAAAACTAAAAACATGGTTAATAGCTGTGTGGCGGCAAATTGCACGAATAAGTCATGTCTTAGTTCCGGTATAAGTCTCCACACAATACCCTACTTTAATGACAATCGACCTGAAGCCAGGAGAAGAAGAAAAATATGGGTTGACTTCGTCAAAGCAAAACGGGTCTTTGAACCTTCGAAGACGTCGACCCTTTGTTCGGCACATTTTACGCCCGAGGATTTCGAGCGACGCTTTGCTATTTTGCCTGGTCAAACAAAGCCGAATTACCAGAAGCTAAAGAGCGATGATCTAGGGGTTTGTGTTTATCCCAGCATACATGCTGTGGCGGTGAAAAGTTCCAGTGAACTGGTCGTGCAAAGTGCTTGAGATAGACGCATGGTGAGTAAGTTTTGATTTGATTCAACATATTTTTGTTTTGAATTTATTTGCAATGTTTAGTCCTACTATGTAATTTTACTTAAAATATACGTTTTCTTTTCATGTGAAGATGATAAAAAGTATGCAGCAAGGAGATCCTTCGGCTTGGAGATCGCTAATCACTTCGTCGCTTTTCATTGCTTCATGGCATCCATCAAGTTCAAAACAACAATGGCATTCGTTATTGTTTACGAGTAGCGTCACATCACAATTTCCGCACTGACACCACTCGTCCACTTTTACAGAGCCGTCCAGTCTTTTGCCGAGCTTTTCTTGTAGTTCTAAACGTTTTTTTCCTGACTGTTGTAATTTTCCAACCACTCTTCGTCTGCCAAAGGCTCGTCAGCATATGCTAGGCCCACGTTTTCTTGATTAAAATCTTTGTTAGAATTTCTAACCTCAGAACATTCGATCATGTAACCGGGAATAAAATTAATATCGGAGTCGTCAGACTGATAATCCTCCGAATCACATTCCCAATCTATTACATCCTTATCCATGATAGCTCTGACAAAAACAAACTACATCTTCGTCCGACCACGTGCAACAAGATTGTATATGCCTAATAAGCGCATTTATCTGAGACAATCAAAGAAAAAAGCCGACTACCTTGCATGACGTCAGAAAATGCGCTAGACACAGACTCCTTGATACGACGGACAGGGTCCTCAAAGGCCAATTTTTAAACCGCCATAAAAAAGGAAAGATATAACCGATTTAAAAAATTTTTCGCATATATGCTGGCCATCATACATAGATTCGATATAACCAATAAAAAATTTTGCCTGGAGGTGCACTTTAAGGTCATATGTACATAATAAGCGTACAAAAATGATCTCTTACATTTTTCAACTAATGACCATAAAACCCAATGACATGACATGACATCATGATGGTTTTTATAAATGTGAATTTTTAACATCAAACAAAACTTGTTTCCACGATATTAACATGCGTAAGGTAAATTTTATTTACAGTTTTTGAAAGAATGTTCAAAGAAAGTTACTCTATAATTTAAACAAAATATTCTTCATCTACAACAACACCATATTGTCAAATGACTCACAATGAATGAGTTGTCAACATTATTTCATTTCTATGTAGTGAACGTTTAATATATAATAAAAATGACGAAATCATCTGACTATAAATTTGTATTAAAAAGTAAACCATCAACATAAAGTTCGTTCAAAGATTAAAGGTTTCTCAACATAAGTAATATGTAATGTTAGTAAATACAATAGGTTAATATAACTACAAAGGTTGAGTTAGTGGATTCATTCAGGAACATTGAGTTTTAAAAATTTAATTCCGCATCCATCACTTGTTACTAAAGCTAACGTTCCTGTGTTGTAATGCATAGTTATATTAAATGCAGGATGTAATCCGTAAAATGCAGTAAATTGTTTACCACTCTTTAAATCTACAGCAGCCAACATGTCAAGATCTTCACAAATGAAATATGATTTATGTGCGATTGTGCTAGACATTAAAAAATCATCGTTACTATAGAAAATCGTACTCACAACATTGTTTTTATGCATATTAATTACAATAATGTCAGTTCTTGCGTAGCCATCGTCGTCTTTGAAATAGAATGCAATGACCGCTTGGTTACTATCACTTATAAAGCAGTTGAACTCTAGACGGACTTCAAGACAAAGTTCAATTATTTGTTCCTGAACAAATTTTTCAATGAAAGACGTTATGGGTATTTCTGCAATATGCAAAGGTTCCAAGTAAAGTTCATTGTTGTTATTTCCCCATTTCCATAATGTGTATTCTATTTTGTTTACAGTTAAAATAACAGAATTATCAGGTGATACAGCCGCTTTAAATTTTGAAGTATAGACAGCAAGCCTTTCGTTGTATTGTATCTCACCTTTTGTAATTCTAACAACTTGAACAAAATCTTCTTCGTTGTCAATACAAACTAAGACATCACCAAATGTTAAGATTTTCTTAGGTTTAAATCCAATGTTAACATGCTTTACTTCAGTAGAATCTACAAAATTTTCAGACGAAGTTGATATCTTCAAAAAATGATCAGAACCATCCCATATCCACAGTAAACCATCTGACCACCAACATCCTAATGCATTCTTCAGTTGCATTGGTACAGTTTGAATAATAGTGCAACGTTCAATGCTCCAAATATGAATGTTTACGTGGTCACCAACAGCGAAAGCAGCAAAAACAGATCCATCCGGTGAAAAACAACAACATTTAATTTTAAAATTCTCAAAAATAAATGAAGGTCTCCAAAGATGATCAGTTTTGAAAATATTCAGCTTGGAAAAATACGGCACAACGTAAAATTCCTTGAACGAGATGGGATAGATTCTTTTAAGATTCTTATAAAGACATCGACACCTAACATTTGGTAAATGAAACTCGATTTCTCCTTGATTGTTGTATTTTGTCAACTGAGTGATTTCAGAAAGCTTTCCATTCTGGCTTGTATGATAAAAAATACAATCACGATAATGGTGTGTTATCATAAAATGTAAAGGTAGTGAATATTCCTTTTTACTTGAAAAATATCGATTGCCTTTGGGAATTGAAAAACATACGAAGTCTTGACGAATTCTGCAACAAAGAACTCTGAATATTTATCGGTGCATTGTATTTTTTTGTAATCAACAACAGAGCGTCGATCGATTCTTTGCAAAGTTAATGAATTCCATGCAGTGAACACTTTTATAAATGCCTTCATGGCAAGATCATCGTCTTTCTCATTTTCTACATATTCTGCTGTAATGAACAAACCAGAATCTAAGAAAGAGCAACGATTAACGACATCATCTGAGTGTAAACATAATAACAAACGTCCATTGTTAACGTCCCACAACTTTACTTCAGTAGATACATCACTAGTTACCAGTCTATTTCCGGTAGGTGAAAAGGAGCAACAACATATGTTTCCACGTACAAAACCAAAGTTCGCTGATGTTGAATAGTCATAGATGTCATACAGGGACAAAAATTTGTCTCCATCATACCACTTTTCCAACCTTGAAACATCGAGTGCAGTGCCTAGAGTGCATCGTTGTTCAAATTCAGGAAGCTCAAAATAGATATTTGACCATTTTCATATCCTACAGCAAGAAGTTCTTCATTGGACGACACACAAAGAGATGTAACGTTAGCACGCAAGGAGACAGTCAAATGATGATGGTTTGTTAAATATGTTGAGTCTAAATCCTCAAACCAAAAACTTTCCTTCTTTCAATAAATCCCTTGCCAATATTATTTTTTCGTTACTGCCATCAATTCTGTTTGCAATAATTTGTAAATAAAATAAGCTACCACCATACATAGATGAATGCTTTCTCGCCATAAACAAATGAAATAGTAGTTCCTCAAGTACATCTTTTCTCAAGAAAGTTCGTAGTTCCGTAATGATTTCATGCAATTCAGACGAAATGGTATAAAACATGTTAATGTTATTCACATACATTAACCTCGCACAAACCACTTTGACATCTACTGCCCAACTAAAGTCAACATTTTCACCACATTTTGACATATGATAGATTCCATTCTTCAAAGCATATTTAATCATAGCAGTGTTCATCTGATCTTCAAAAAT